TGATTTCCTCCTCGCGATCCTTCCGGTGCCTTCGGAGAGTGAAGGAGCCCTAATTTGCTTCACTTAAGGTAGAAGCCGTAAATCGGCCATTGGACGGATGCCGGTGGCTGCGCTGTGTGTGCATCTAATGCTGAAACGTGTTGAGGTGGAATCCCGTTAACCGGAATAATCCGATAACCGAATGTACCTCCCCCCTCCACCGTAAGTACTTAACTCTCAACCGCCCGCCGTGGGCTCCCTGTGAGAGCACGCGTTGATTCCTTACCCGCCGCACCGGCGCCTATGATCGAAACGGAGGAGATGATTAAATACATAAATTTGCAGTTTCTCTGGAATGTAAGGCAAATTTGCCGAAGAGCACTTGCGAGAGCACAGTTTGAGAAGTTTTGAGAGTAGATTTTGGAAGTTAAGAGCATCAACGTCACTTTCGAGCGCGATCTGCAGTTTTCTACATGGAAAGAACGATTTTGTTGAAAAGTCTAAAAATTTTGCTAAAAACAAATCTGAAAATAATTGTTTGTTGAATCATCAGAATAATTTGCTGGAATGTTAAAACTGATAAGCATTAGCTATAAAACGTTTTAATATTCTAGCATTCATTTTGACTTTCGCACAAAATTATTTTGATTATTGAACAAAAATTATGTTTAGATCTGGATTCAGCAAAATTGTTCTTTCCGCGTAGGATCAGAAAAAGGTTAATTAACATTAAATAATAAGACCAAATGAATAAATAAAATACGTTAAAGATTAGGATTAATTAAATAAATAATATACGCGTTAAATAATATTTGCGGTGAATAACAAAAATGTAATAGTAGAATCTAATGTGTGTGTGTAATGTGAAAATGGCTCTAAAAAATTAATTCATAAAGGGACCGTCCATATATTACGTAAGCATGACGGTGGGAGAGGGGGGTCAGTCAAATTCTGACAAATAATTACATGAGAGAATGGAGGGGGATCGTACATATTCTTACGTAAGCTTTTTCATGTCTGCTGCCGTCATGAAAAACAAGCAATATTAACCAGATGGTGAAGATTGTTAATGACTTGTAAGCGTATGGATGCAAGAATAATATAGATGTGATATATGACTTCCGCAAAAACGTTCGTGACCGTTTTAACTATTTAAACATGTCGTCTGATTTTATTAATAATGTACGTTTTTTGTTAGTTTTACTGATTAATTGATTATTTTATTTAATGTCGCTAATGAAGACTAAGTATAAAATCGAAACTTGTTTGAATAGTATTGAATACATGCCTTAATTTAACATGACTTTCGCATGATTTATTTCAATTTATTGACTACCCTTTTATGCTCGGTTCTAGCCTATTATTTATTATTGTATTTTGTTATTACAATTACGAGCCTATAATCATAATTGAGCAATATTAACTTTATATCGAGCATAATCGGAAAAATCTTATGTAATTAGGGGAGGGGGGGGGTTCAGAAATTCTGACATTTGCTTTTACATGGAGGAGGAAAAGGATCAAAAATTGCCAAAAAATATGCTTACGTAATATATAGACGGCCCCAAAACATTAATTTAAATATATTTTTTGTTCATGGAACGTTCGATATTTAATTATTTTGCCAGACGCTTCAACCGATTTTAAAACTGCAAAGATATCTCTATACACTGAGAGAAAAGATATACTAATGGTAACAAAAACAGAGAATTATTCACAAAAGTCAAGTTTTATTCTAAAATTTTGTTAAAATAGTAAAATATATAATTAAATAAGCAAAATTTGGTATAATTTTTTTATTTAATAACACAATTTTATTTGGTTACTCACATTTTGTACACAGTAATATAAAATTGGGTTGCAATTACAAAATAAGTTTTCTTTTAAGTTCAACAAAATAATGTAATTATTTTGTTAATTTTATTCAATAAATTCAACGAATTAATATCGACGTGGTAGTTTAGTTGGTCACATATATCAACACATAGGTTTGGTATCAGTAACAAAATTTTGGTTGTTCATACCAAACTTTTCTCTCAGTGTAGAGATAATTTCAATGTGTACTGAAAAATTTTTATATTATCCCTCGTATTGTGAACTAAACATGCAGACATGCATGTTGTAAAATACGCGAGTGTATAAAAGTTATTATTTTAATACAGCACCAAGCCGGCAAATTTGCATGCGACTGCGCGCGACCATCAGTGTTTTTTCATAGCCGAAACTTATGCGTTTTAAAATCCTAGTCGCAGATTGTAGTAACACGTGTAACCGTCCCCTTCGAGAGGAAACTTTTGCATCAGACACATCCAAAAAAGTTGCACGTAAACTTCAGTCTCAATGGCGATAAGGCCGCCGTGTACATTTTCTTCCCCACGCCAACGAAAAGATATTCCGGTCTCAAAGGATTAAGTGTATTCAAATCTTGCTATGCGAGACCTAAACCCGAGTCCTTGACGTGCGCCAAGTGTCAAGCTATATCCAATCTGCTTCGCGTTTTCATGGTTTTACAGGACGAATTTTCTGCCACTGCACGGACTGGCTTCTACTTTATGACGACTGAGCCATGTAATTTTGTTCGAACGTTCTCAAGCGTCGCTGTACATTAATATACAGGGTGTAACTTAAATACTGACCACTAATTAGATAACGTTATTCCTTGTAAAGAACTGAGTCGGAGAGTCTTGAACTATTTTTCTTCTACAGTGCTAAATAAAGAGATCACTACCGCAGTAATTATTGCTTCATTAAGCATTGTAGAAAAAAATAGCATTCACTAATCGTATAGCATTACTGCTTATAAAAAATTGAGTCGAAAAATCCTGAATTATTTTTCTCTACAATGCTCAATAAAACAATAATTACTGCAGTAGTGATCGCTATTTATTTCGCACTAGAAAAAAATAGTTCAAGACTTTTCGATTCAGTTTTTTTTACTAAGGAATAACATTATATATAATAGTGGTCGGTATTTAAGTTACACCCGATAAACACACACACACACACACACACGCACACACACAGGTACATACGAACTATGTATAAATAGATGTATGTATATCGTATACATCCCAGTTCTCTTCATACGAAGATGAGTCGATATTTTATACGCGTCGCGTGTTGCACTCATAAACCGTAAAATCCATTTAATTTTACGCGCACTCGTAAAAACGTTCTTTGAGCGGCACGCCGCCGCTACTCGACGGAATAATGCCCCTCGTATTATTCACGTATTATCGTGCGCGAGCGACGGCGACGGACGTATAAATGCAAAAGATTAATGTCTCTTGAGACAAAATGAGATTTAACCGACCGTGAGATAAACGTCCACGCGGCTTGGATTTCTGTCATTTTTTGTCTGCACTTACTGAAAGCAAAAATCAGATTTCTCATATTTACAAAAATTCTATTTGATTGATATTATTAAATTGAATTTAAACTTTTCAGATAAGTTAATATTAAATCACTCTGCAGGAATGCTCGAAATTAATACACGAATACGTTCTCCTTTGTTTGTCCCATTAATTTATTCTCGCGGCAATAAAGAAAGTCGGATTACGTCCCGGCGGTTAAACTAAATTTTTTTCGAGCTGCAGATTTCAAGTCCCACTTCTTCTTTAAAATTTTGAAGACAAAATAACGGATTTGATATAGCGCGGGACTCAAATGAAAAGGTAAGACGATTTACTCGTAAAGATCGGAGCTGAAGATTGTCCCGCCAAGATTCCCTTCCTCTTTTTACGAATCTCGGCTGCGACGTTTCACTTTGAGTGATCGCTCAAAGAGGGACAAAAATAAGAGGCAGCTCTGTCATTCTCATTGTCCAACGGATGAACATTTCTCTGATTTCAACCGCGCCGTGCTCATTTCTCTCTTCCACGTAGAAGTAGAAGAAGAACAATTCCGCCAAGATGCAGGCCATCAAGATCGAACCGGTAAAAATCCGTGAGTTTCTTTCGAGCAGTAGGCACTTCCACAGGATTCCACCGAGATCAAAGGTATTACGGATCGCGCGGGGGGGAGGGAAGAGGGGGAGGAGAGGGAGTGAAAAGCCTTAAGAGCGACCGTCGCCGTTTCGCCGTCGCCGCCGCTCGCGCATCAATTAACTTTATTAACGCGATTATCGGAAATTCCGCTCACGTAATCCTCGCGACGAGACGTAACACCCCCGTCCCTACAGGCGAGACGCAGTCCCTCCTTTTCCGGTACATTAACTTCCGCAAAAGAGATCCGGGGCGATTCGATTTCTGCTTGTTCGCCGGCCATTATAGACTCCTTAACTCCATCCACTTAAAGTCATCCCATGCCGCCTCGTTAAGCCGCCTTGTATCCCCTCGCTGTAAAGACGATGTTCTCGAGTTCCGCATGCACCGTGCCAAGGGGAAATTCATCACGCCGACTATCGCAATATACCTGCGAAGTGCCGTGGGGCGCTGGCACGCGGAACGAGTATATAGAATTATTGCGTCGGCAACGGAAAAAGTTGCGCTATTTACTGGATTAATAAAATAGTGAGCATATTTCTTCTCTCGCGACGTGCGATAAGTCTAGCCATTTCCCGCGTAAAAACGAGTTTCCCTCTCTCGTCATCAGGCGTCAATTTAACAGATTGAATTTCAAGAGTAATACTAATTGGCGGCAATAAAAAAAAATTTTTAGTCGACTCGTGTCGCGATATAGTGCGCGCGCGGGGGAAGCGTTTACGAGAGAGAATATACGTATAAAGTAAGATACACGCTCGAGTTAAAGTCATACGCTATATTTTCGTCGATGAATGACCCCATTATTCCCCCCCCCCCTCCCCTTCCCAATACGAGGAGGAGGAGCTCGAATGTGGAATCCTAATATTATTACCCATAAATCTGCCTCTCGCATGCAATGTCCGGTGGAAATATTATTTCGCTTCGTTTGTTTATCGATTCGCGAGGCATAAATCGCACCGCGCGCTGTTTCAATGCGGAGATCGTCCGAGACTTCTCGAGGCGGAACGTCGTTTATAACGCGACAACGAATCTCCACTGGCTTCTTTATTATACATTTATTATACATTTATACATTTAACAGTATTCGTTGATATAATTTCGAGCCTCTTCGCGAATTAACAAGTTAATTGGATCACAGAACGTGCACTTGTCGTCGAACATCGAACACTCCATAGACCGTACGGCCTCTATTCGACCGTGAATATATCTCGTATCCCTTTAACACAGCGTTGAGCAAGGTCCGTCCACGATGAATTTTCACACGAGGTCTGCAACAGTAAACGACATTCAAATTTTTAACAGTACAAGCGTGGCTCCTGCGAATTAAGTTATAGAGCTTTCGACGTTACGTTGCCAATTAAAACTTTCTAAACGTTTAACCTCCGTTTTCGATTTTTCGCTATACCGATATTTATTCCGCACGTCAAACGCGAATCCGGCTCTCTCTTTCTCTCTCTCTCTCTCTCTCTCTCTAAAAAAAAGAGCTGTTTAATGTCTTGTCACGCGTAAAACGGGGGGATCATAAAAAATGCAGTCGCACAAAAGCCTGTTAAATATTCATTCCCCTTCACACCGCAGGATCTATCGACGCGGGCGGAACTTTTATCGCTCAACTTTTACCACGGCGGTTTGAGAAAACGTTTAAATAATTAGCGGGATTTTATCTCGTCGATTTCAACATTTCGAAGAGAGGCTTCCTTGGATTCTCCCAATCGCGCATCGATTACAGCGCGGTTCACTGTTCCCTGATCGCTCTTCTGTAATTCCCCCTCCGCGGAAGGTGGGCGAGATTCGGAAAGTAGGCCAATTCGTGAAATGAGCGGAAGACTTTGCTCGTCTCGAGGAAGCAGGAGAAGCCGGTACTTCGATCCTTTCCGTTCGTCTCCCCCTCGATCGCCCTCGCCGACACTCCGCCATACCCACCCCTCTTCTTTTTTTCATCCTTCCTTTGATTTCTGGCATCTTCTCAACGCCGTTGATCGACCTTCTCATCATCGATCTGTGTGCCCTCCACCGTCGAATCTGCATATCTCCCCGCCTTCATCTGCGCTCGTTAGGTCGCTGCATGCAAAATACCGTATTTCGAATGCTCGAAGTGTTGCAGCACGTTTTTGCAGGTATACGTAACCTCACTTTTAACTGGTTTTTTTGCGTTACATTTTGTGAAAGCGACACGTTCTCTTATCGCCCATCTGCGCTTTAATTTTTTCAACACTTCAAAAATAACAGATACATGGAAAAAAAGTATAAATACTTAGAAAAAATTGGAACAGTATATTGTTATATTTAAATTGATAATATCAACCAACATTGTTACAAATTGCATTGTGCACGTAAATTACAAACGGAAAAGGAATTATATTAATATGAAAGAGATATAAATGTGTAACAATATTTAACATCAGAAATATGCCAGTAATTTAAATATATCCACATTTTAATCGATTCGTTACTAAAAATTCTTGGATATTACGCCCCGAAAAACGAGATAAAACGAGAAAGCGAAATTACAAAATCAACTGAAAATTATGCGGAGAAATTTATTTCTTCGATATATTCTGAAGTATCGCATTCGTGTAACATTAATATGCCTCCTTCATTATAACCGAATGTAAATTATCTTCTCGCTGTTTCCGTAGAATTTTTTATTATACATAGGTTCCGTTTTTCGAACATTTGCCAGAGCTCCAATTCATTCGCACTTTGATATATTTATTGGGATGAAGACTATACAAAGCGTTTCTTTTGGCAAACGTCCTGCGTAGCAATTCATGAAAATGTCAACCTTAGCTATGTGATATACATTTCGAAATCCTTGCCAAATTATTCCCATTTATCACGGCTAAAGTGGTGACAACTTTTTTCGGAACATCTTGGAAAATTACGGTACATTCAGCATTTTTCTCTCCTTATATTGAAACAGCACTAAAATCGATGGAACGGAGAGTTTCTCAAAAGCTAATTGCATAAAGTGAATGCAAAGATGAGTGCAACGACGCGATTTTCCAGGCGAAATAAAACAGGCTATTGCGTCATATAAGTCCGAATTTACATCGTTCGTTTATAATTAATTAATACATTAAATGTAGAAAATAGCAAAAGAACGGCGATATATATATATATATATATATATATATATATATATACGTTATCCCTCCGCCGTACTTCGGGACAGTATAATTATAGCCGCAAATGTGATAATAATGACGCGAGAAATATTTTTAAAATATCAGAGATGAAGTATCAAATTTTCAAAAGAGCACAAAGAGCAAAACTATTATTTTACAGACACGAAGATAAAAATCGTCGTTAAAAAAAAACGTCTTTACTTACTGGCGGCGTTATTTTCAACGAAACTCATAAGTTTGTGATAATATCAAAGACGAGATAAGAGAGAAAAAGCCAATGGGAGCTAACACAGATATCGGTGCGCAGTGTTTAAATATTTATTAGGAAGGTATATTTAACATTAATTTAAGATCGCAGTATTTAAATATTTATTACAGAACCTCGATAACTCGAACCTCTACAACACGAAAACTTCTATAAGACGAAAATTTTGTTCATTGGTCCCTTCAGCTCCGGAAAACCTCTATAAATCGAAATATAACCTACCTTAACTCGAATTATTTATCAGGCATTTGGATATATATTTTATCTCTGTAACTCGAATTTAAAGTAGCCAGACCTCTACAAGTCGAAGTACACCTCTATATAAGTCAAACTTCCATTGTCACTACCTCTATAATTCGAAGTTGTAGTTATAACGTAACCGTGAGTAATAATCTGATATTTTGTTTTATGGTTACATTTATCATATGTATGCAATAAATAATTCACAGCTGTTAAATATTGATTTTTTTCCTCTAAAAGCCATTATAATCGGAAAATTATAAACTCTCGTACAAAGCCTCCGTAAGTCGAATTGTCATATGTTAACCCTTTTTTATTCGAATTTCGATAAGTCAAAAACTCTATAACTTAAACAATTTTTCTAGTCCCTTGAGATTCGAGTTATCGAGGTTCGACTTAGTAAAATATATTTAACATTTAATTTAAGATATAGTGTATAACAATCGTAAAGAGTTGCGCGTCTGTGCTCTCAATGGCAAAGATCCGGATTCAAATTCGTTCCACAAACATCTTATTTGCATGATCGTCACGCCTCTCGGAAGGCAATGGCAAACCACCATGAATATCTTCACCATGAGAACCTCTCCTAACCATTCGGAACCGGCATTAAATTGTAGATCCCATAATATCTGTGTAAACTATATATAAGACGACGGATATGCATGCAGAAGAAGTTATATCACGCTCTGACAAGAGATTAAGGACTAAAGAAGAAGAATGTAAAATATTACGTAAGTAGCAATAATAGTCTGTCAAAAGTATATGGTCGACCTATGTGTATCAACATTTAAATAATAATTATATTCTATAAAAATTATACACGGAAAGAACGATTTTGTTGGAAGGTCTAAAAATTTTGCTGCATACAGATCTGAAAATAATTCTTGTTGGACCATCAAAATAATTTTGTTGGAAAATAAAAAATGATAAGCATTGCTGTCAAACATTTTAATATTCTAGCAATCAGTTTGACTTTCCAACAAAATTATTTTGACGGTCCAACCAAAATTATTTTCAGATCTGTATCCAGTAAAATCATTTTCTTCGTGTAGTTAAAATGCAATTACATTAATAAGAGATCCAATCATCATCGGTGTGTATAATGGACTGGTATCTTCGGGGCGTACTTTCCTCTAGAAAATAGCTTTGTAGCGCGATGCGTAAGTAGTTCCGTATTGACATACGCTTTTTCTACACGGAAAGAATAATTTTGTTGCAAGATCTAAAAATTTTGCTGAATACAGAAAATTAATTCTTGTTGAATCAACAAAGAATTTTGTTGGAATGTTAAAAATGAGCATTACTATAAAACGTTTTGATATTTTAGCAATTATTTTGACTTTCCCACAAAATTATTTTGATTATTGAACAAAAATTATTTTCAGATCTGGATCTATCCAGCAAAATTGTTCTTTCCGTGTACCAGATTTCAAACGATAACTGACATTATGGATAATAACGTATCAAGGAGAAAGCCAGAAAGGTAACACTAATCAGCACAAAAAAGTTAAGAGTGCATCTTTCACTGGTTGCGAGTAATAGTGACCGCGCTCTTATTATAGACAGACTGTAATGGAAAGTTTGCCCAGCTAGGAGATGCCAGTTATAGATACCGGTGATGACTGTATCCCTCATTAATATAATTGCATTTTAACTATACCTAATCCTACAGAATATAATCATTAAGCTAATAAATACACTTTTCTTTCAAATAGGTCGATCACGCTCTTATTTGACTAACTCTAATACAATTTATACATCATTTATAATGGATTCCAGCGTTAACAACTCACGCTTTACCCTTGATCGACTTTTCTTTGAAATCTAATCGCACTGAGGACAATTGTGATCGTGAAATTTATTTGCGCCACTTACGTAATATTTCACTCAATAAATATTACGCACCAATATCTGCGTCGGCTTTTTCTCTTATTTTTATATTCCATTTATTTTAAAAGTCTTGTAGGTATGCATTATTTATTATTTTGTAAAAAAAAAGTGGCTCGTGGAACAGAATCTTTTAAGGTACAATTTCATGGTGTCGCTTGTCACAGCGATGAGTGTCGTGTGAGTCACGTGATCGAATTTTATTTGTTTTTATTGTCACCAACGACTATGTAAAAAGTTGGATTGAATCGAACTTTTAGCGACGTCGCTCTTACGCACCGAATATAAATACAATACAATCAGTAATAAAAGAATATATCGCTGCTACCTATTTATACAATTTAGCGACGATCGAAATCAGCGCCGCATATGATATATGTACAATCAATTCACGTGACTTGTTTGTCGCTAAATATGAGCGACAAGCGACATCATGAATACATAGCTTTATTCATAGAAACTAATTTCGCATCGCTGTGTGCTTGAAACGCTCTTCTCAAATTATATCTATTAATATAACAAAAGGAAGAGAACTTCGGTAAGCAGCTGTCGCGGGTCGCTGCACGCGCCGTGCAACGTGACCGATTCTAATCCTAACGCGGAACAGTTTAGGTGACACCAGGTATTGACATTAAATAGCTGGTATTGAGCCGGGCAAATAGATCGCGTAATATCGCGCAGAGCTCAGCCGAGATCGCATCGGAACGACGGGAATATTGGATTACCATCTTGTTGCTCACGGAATACATCTACTTGATTAAGATTTGTTTGCACTGGTCAACGAACGAGCCATTTTTACGAGCGTCTGAGCGCCGTCGTTTTCGAGGCGCCGTCGATTACCGGCTCGCTTATCCTTTCCTAAACGTCTCGTCCGTAAAATACGGCGCGTTTCCGTCTGACTGCACGGCCAAACAGCTCGGAACCACGCGCGTCCGCTCGTACGACACAATCGCGTTGTCTCGTTATTTCGCACAGCATGCACGCGATTCAATTCCTGTGCCACACGTTAGGATATTTGGTCGGAATGACCGACGGATTTAATGACGATCGAGTGTTCATTATCGTAAAATGTTTAAAAGATTAACTTTCATTACCTTTGTTTGCTACCATGGGCGTATCTACACTGAGAGAAAAGTTTAGTATAAACAACCAAAATTTTGTTACTGATACCAAAACTATGTGTTGATATGTGACCAACTAAACTAACGTCGATATTAATTCGTTGAATTTATTGAATAAAAAGATCGGAAGAGCA